GCCTTTTGAGTCCACAAACTCCGTCAGTATTTGGACAAGGCCATACAAGACACCATGGCAAAAAATGTTCTACATGAGGGGCTGGCGCTGTGGCATAGCAGGTAAAGCTGCCACCTGCAGTACCGGCATCCCATATGGGTGCCGGTTTGAGTCCTAGATACTCCACTTCTGATCTAGCTCTTTGCTATAGCCTGGGAAAGCAGAAGATAGCCCAAGTTCTTGGATCCCTGTACCCATGTGGAAGACTGGAGAAGGCTCCTGGCTTTGGATCGGCACAGCTCCGACCATTGTGGCCAACTGGTGAGTGAACCAGCTGATGGAAGACCTCTCTCTCTGCCTCTCCTTCTCTTTCTGACTTCCAACTAAATAAATAAATCTTTAAAAAATATGTTCTACATGAAGGATCTCAGTGTGTGAGACCCCAGAGGAAAGAAGTAGCAATCAAAGAAGGATGTACTTTTCTCTAAAGGGAGGAGAGAATTTCCACTTTGTTTATGGCCTTGTCCAAATACAGACACAATTTCAAATCCAAAACCAGCAAAAGAAAGCAGGAGGTTATGCAGCAGGCTGTTATGTTTTTGTGAGAGGGTGGTATTAAGGAGCATGTAAATATCCTATTTTGTGCATTTCTGTATTTGAATTTTGATACAAAGAACATACATTGCTTTATAATGAGAAAAAAATAAAGATATTTTTATTAAGAAATAGAAAAAAATTAATTATAGCTGCTGGATATTAAGCTCAGAACTCTTCATCTCTTCCTCTTCTTCCTCCATTCCTTCCTCTCCTATATGGTTTATACTTAACACAGAGGCCGGCACCGCGGCTCACCAGGCTAATCCTCCGCCTTGCGGCGCCAGCACACCAGGTTCTAGTCCTGGTCGGGGCGCTGGATTCTGTCCCGGTTGCCCCTCTTCCAGGCCAGCTCTCTGCTGTGGCCACGGAGTGCAGTGGAGGATGGCCCAAGTGCTTGGGCCCTGCACCCCATGGGAGACCAGGATAAGTACCTGGCTCCTGCCATCAGATCAGCGTGGTGCGCCGGCTGCAGCGCGCCAGCCGTGGCGGCCATTGGAGGGTGAACCAACGGCAAAGGAAGACCTTTCTCTCTGTCTCTCTCTCTCTCACTGTCCACTCTGCCTGTCAAAAAAATAAAATAAAATAAAAATAAAAAAATATACTTAACACAGACCTTTGAAATGGTTCACTGCACCATTTCCTCGAAAATGTAAGGTTCTCAGGCTGCGGCCAGAGAAACAGTCTTCCCAATAGAGTTGAATTGCTGTTCGAATTGTAGTTGCATTTTACGGGACGTTGTGAATGTTCTATTTAAGAAATGACAAGAGCATACCCTTTTGCTATAATCCTGATCTCACAGAAATTGAAAATGAATAAGAACCAAACAAAAAGCTGAATTGGCATGAGTTGATAGAATATCAGGCACTCCTAATCAGTATCAGGCTACTGTGGCAAAGTAATCAGGAAAACTGCAATTTTAGCTTCCTCTGGGGAGTGAATCTATGTGTTGAGTCAATTGAGTGTGTGTTTTAGCTGTGATTTATGTTGGCTTCCTGTCTTTCTGAATTTGAAACAGGTTCTTAGAGCCACCTATGCTTCTGTTTCCCATCGAAAGTGGGGTTCAGCTTCTTTAAATAACAATTCCACGTTTACATCATCCAGACTCTTTCACTGTTGTCTGGAGAATATCAGCATCAACATGGAAGCTCATAATACAAATTGTAAACCTAGACTAACTAATCTTGCATCTTAAGTAGCTTAATAGATGGGAGTTTAAATGTGGGGAGCTCAGGAAATAGTCACGACTTATCCTATTCCTGGCATGAGTTTGAGGCATGGAGACATTGGCATTGTCTCGGATGGACTGTGTGATTTCATGCTTAGAGATACGTGCTAAAGATACTGGCCATTCACACAGAATCTCTATCTTCTTTTATTTATTTATTTTTAATTACCAAATTTAGTAAAGGCTAAGTGATGACTATTTTTCTGGTTCCATATGTGATCATGAGTGTGGCCATATTCCCAATTTTTGAGGGAGGTACTCTGGGTTAGGAGACAGAGCATCTCAGAGCACCATATCCTATGGACACATCTGTCACAAAGCAGGATGAGAACTTAAGGACCAGCAGAATTTAGCTCAAGTGGCTTGTAATGCTGCACTGGAAACGACCAGTGAAGGCACTGATGGACTTACTAAATTCCAAATCAAAGGCTGGACTGTGTATGCTTACCAAAGACTCCATCTAAGCATCTGGCATGGGTCTTCTAGGATATTCTGGCAAGAAGCAACCCTGCCAACTCATGCACTTAAAGGCTGGATGCTTCTTTGTTGGATTGCTTGTTCCATTAACCAACTTCAAGGCTTTATTATTATTTTTAGCTGTTATTATGAACAAAATGAAACTTGATAGAAATTAGGCCTATGATGCTTGATGTTAAGATATGCTCCATGAATAGATAGTTGGAGAAAATGGCAGGCTTCTTCAACATTATGTTTCAAGCTCTTGGTTTAACTGAGCACAGGTTTATTGAATGGCTCCTGGGTTCCAGGCCCCAGGCAAGTAGGACCTACACAATGGCTGACATCAAGGACCTTTCAGAAAGGTATTTTCTTCAGGTCCAGAATTTATTGTTTCAAAAGCCCAGATGAGTAAAACACAAAAATTTGGCATTATTTTATTTTATTATTTTATAAGCTTATACAAACTTTTTTATAAAGCACAAAAAGAAAAGTATTAAAATATAAGTGCAGGGAGAACAAGCTAGGAGAAGAGTTATTATCAGACAAGCTCATATGATCAAGAAGAGGCCAAATCAGAGAATTTTGCCTATGACAATGTTATTCTTTTATTCTTCTAATGAATATACAACTCCAAGTTTACTTGATGATTAGTATGATTAATTGTGCTTACCAACCAGCTCTGTCATCCCTCATCTGCTCTCATTAAAAAACAAAAACAAAAACAACAAAAAAACAAAGAAAAAGAAAAAGAAACACTGGAAAAACTGCAATAAATCATCTGGTGGATTTGATGCCACACACAATCACACTGTTATTTATCTGTTAACACTTTACATGCCTATGCACATCATAGACATCTAGGAAAATATCTCTAACTAAACTAACCAGCCAGGAGAAACGGAATCAATTCTACCTTACATTAAGCTTTTCAAAGCATTCAGTATTATGTGGAGAAATACATGATACAGATAAGATACCGCAAACCCCAAACACAAAGCATCCACTTTCTAGAACTCTGTGTTACAGAAAACATTTCTGAGGGTGGCTGATGACTTACCATCCTGACAATGCCCTGCGTTTGAAGGTGACTGGGGCATGGCCCCAGGGAGTGCTGTCAGTACAGTGCTGTGACAAGGCAGCCTCACTCACAAGCACTTCAAAAAACCATTTGCTTTAGGAACCAACTATGGGCTGATGATAAAGGGTGGGCTGCTTGAGGTGGTGTCAGGGGATGAGGCACCTCTATATTTGGCAAAATGATACACATACAATCACAAAATAAGATTTAAAAATCTCCATGTGCCTCACAAATAAACTAAAACACCCAAATTAGTTGCATAATTAAGCAAATTAAATATAATCTTTTTAATGGCACGTGTGTGTGTGTGTGTGTGTGTGTATTGTGTATGTGTTCTAAGGTGGGTGCATTTGGCAACAAGACAGCATTCAGAGGTAAAACCACTAAAGAAAAGCCTGCCTCTTACTTCGCCTCTTTTCCTGTTGCTGGGCCCCTGTCTGACCAATGGATCCGGGAAATCTAAAGCGAAAAGCGCTGGTTCCCTGGGTGGGCTCCGACCGGTGCCTGCTGCCCACCTGCCCGATCTTTGCACCTGTGGTGTGGACCGTACCAAATGCGATGGCTTGGAGATGTTATCCAGTGATGGAGCCGGCCATTCACCACAAAGAACGCCCGAAGTAGCCACTTTAGCAGAAAATTTTCCGAAGGGAAGTGAACGCACAGAGGAAATGAAGGACATTAAAAAACAGATCCCGTCTCTGGAGTGTTATATGGAACCCGAGCGCCGCAGGGCCGGGACATCTGGCGGCGCAAAGCGCTCAGGCACACTCCCCTAGGCGGCTTCTCCCCATGATGTTTCTGTGAATGAATGCTTCCCTCTGCTTCCCAGGGGAGGGCACATTACATACCCCCCCGCCCCATCAGAACTCAGTTTGCCCGCAATTCTTGCCCGCAGCAGGGAAACGCAGCACGCCAGCATCTCGGACCCGAGCGAAGGGAAAGGTCGCTGCTGCCCTTACTTGCTTGGTTTTCTGCCAACTCGGGAAGCCACCGCTGGGGAACGCCAAGTGTTCAGCGCCAGGGAAAACTTCCTCGGATTCGGAGCCACCCGAAGACGGGTGAAGACTCAAGGGAACACCGCCCGGTGCAAGCCTGTCGGCAGCGTTCGCACCAGGAGCCCTCCGGAAGGGACAGGCGACCTTAGACATTCAAATAGGCGCAGCGCAAACCCAAGAAGGACGATCCCCCAACCCCCTCCCCGACTACACACCACAAAGCCACAGAGGCACAAACAAAATGCATCTAGAAATACACTCTGCAAAGTGCGGAATTGTCTACACCTGCACGGAGGACTGGCTCTCGCAGCGGCGGACGCGACAGCAGACCTTCCTGGCTCCCCATGTCCCGGACCGACGCTGTCGTCTCAGAGCCAAGGGCACTGCTCACCGGCCCCTGGCGGCTCCTTCTGTAGCCCGCAGAGTGCCCCCCAAACCCGGAGAGTCAGACTGCTCCTGGCCTGCAAAGATGGGCTTGGGGTGTTCCCTCGCCAGGAGCTCGGGTAGGAGCAGAGCCTGAGGCGCGCGAGGCCACCCCAGGCGAGGAGTCAGGCGTCCCCCGCAGAGGGCGAGACCATCCTACCCCCAGCGCTCTGCATCCCGCTTGTCTCCAGTTCCCGGCTCCTCTGCTTCAAATCTCGGGCCCGGTTGGGAGCCTCTTACTGACCTGCAGGTAGGGCGAGCTCCGACGCTCGGGTGGGGCGGCGCCCTAGGCTGGGCGATCTGCACCCGTTCTGCGCTCGGCGGGAACGCTCGGCGCAGCGCGCGTGCGGGCGCACCGGCAGGCAGCGGGCTCAGAGGGACTGGACCTGGGGCTGGCGGCTCGGTGCAGCCCGTGCCTCGTCCCTCCGCCCCTCCCGACCCGCGCAACCAATGGCCGAGATCGGGGCCCACTCCCTGCCGCCCCCCAGCCGCTGCTTGGGCGGGTGCTTGGCGCTGGGACAGCACCTCGCTGGGGCGAGGGAGGAGCTTGCGCCACAGTAGGAAAATCCCGGAGGATGAGGAGGCGTTTTCGCAGAGAGCCCATCTGGGGAAGGCAGGTGTGGTGCGGTGAACTTTTGTGCGTGTGTGTGTGTGTGTGTGTGTGTGAGAAGGAGGGGGGTTGCAGCTTCTCTGGGACTCGGGGCCTCACTCTGCAAGAGAAAGCATCCACTTCCTGCCAAGTTTCTTCTCTCAGATCTTTCGTGAGTCCCGCCGAGCCCCCACCGTCATCGTCTGGGTACATCATCACCAGCCCAGCCCCGGCTGAGTGCTGGGAGCAGTGCCTCAGCCCAGCATGAGCTTTCCCTCCGACATCCCTTGTTCTGCTGTTCTCCCAGTTCTCTTCCGAGTCCTAGATCATCACATGAATGAATAGGATTGCAATCCCTACCGCTACCAGGGCGACAGACAATCCTAAAGGTCCCCACTGGGTAACTGGCAGGAAGGGAAAGAGAGGGAGGAAGAGAGGGGGAAGAGATAGACACACAGACAGGCACACACACAGACACACACACACAGAGAGAGAGAGAGAGAGAAAGAGAGAGAGAGAAAGAGAGAGAGAGAGAGAGAGAATATTAAATAACTCTGGAAAAAGAGCCCTTGGCTGCTATGACTAACTTCAGTTACCAGTAAGTTTAGTGACCCAAGCCTTTTCCTTACTACATTCTGTTTCATGGCAAAGGAGAGGCCTGGATCATTTGGTTTCTGGAGTCTTTTCACTCTGAATCCAACAATCCTCTTGGCTCTGTGGCCTGCAAAGGGCTGAGCCTCTCAGAAGTGTCTGTGTGGTTGCCTTTTTTCCCAGAGGCTCCTACTTCACCCACCTCTGCTGTTTGCTCCTGAGACCCTTCTACCTGTGCCCAGGAGAGCAAATGATGCATATAGATACAGAACCCTGATGCCCAAGCCTCAGCGGCCATTCACACCTGCACATCCTCAACTTGTGCCCATGTTCAGCTTGTTCTCTACGTAGACACAGGCAGGGGACACCTGGCTTGATTCTGAGGCTTTTTGGTAAACAGGCCTCTGTCTTCTCCCTTCCTTCTCCAGGACAATTGTGGGAGTCTGTGAGCTTTTTCTATCTGGGTCTTTCTGTGCGTGATCCAAAATGCAAAAGAATGGAGTTGATGACTGTCAAGAGAATGGACTCAGAGAAAGGCTTCTCTCCTAACACCCTTGCATTTACGTCTAAACTTCATCCATTCAAATGCCACTCTCCTGTTTTGTTAGATTTATTTACTGCTTGTTTTATTATATTATATACTCAGTAGGTTTTACCTTATATTTTTACTTAACTTCATCTTAAGCAATGAAATCCATGAGATCATTAGTTTGTTAGACACTGGTTGTATTTCAATATCCAGTAAAAGCCCAAGTTCTCTGGACCCACTCAAATCATCTCAAAAAACAAAAACAAAAAATTGCTGGCTGCTCTCACTGTTCCATTTGAGGACCCCTGGGGTGAACAGAAGGACGAGCAGACTGGTTGACTTTCAGGGCAGTGGCCCTCAAACTTCTTTGTGCTTGAGAGTCCTCAGCTCCAACCCCACAGTTTGGTTCATTCCCCCTCCACTTGATTCTCATGCAGCTCATCCATTGTGAAATCTAGCAGACACCTTGCAAGCGTCACAGAAGGGAAAGGAAATGTATATTGTCCTGGCTGGCAGGCTCTTCATATGGTCTAAGACAAGCAATTCTCTTTTCCTTGTCTTTGGTGTGTGTTCTGGAAGGCTTTTCTGGACATTTCCTGAACAACATTACTGTTTATTATTATTTTTACTGTAGGCATGTATCACTTGTTTACTCAAAAAACAAAACCACAAAATCCAACAATTCTGGTTAACATGCATATGCTTTGATCTCCTTAAAATTATAATTCTTAATATTATTTAAATTTGAAGGAGAGAGAGATAGAAAGAGAGTGAGAAAGCTGAATCTTCCATTTGCTGGCTCACTCCCTGTAGGCCACAATGGCTGGGGCTAGGCCAGGCCAAACCAGAATCCTGAAACTCCATCTATGTCTCCCACATGTGTGGCAGGGGCCCAAGCATTTGGGCCATTCTTTGCTGCTTTCCCAGGTACATTAGCAGGGACAGAAGGGAGTTAAATGGATGCTCCAATAAGGGTGCTCCAATATGTGATGCACGCATCCCAAGTGTTGGCTTTAGGCACTGCACCACAACACGAGCCCCTGTACTCTTCAGGATATCTTCAAAAAGCCTATTCTTGCACTAGAGACAGAGCCCACTCCCTTGAGATCCTCCCTGGGACTCCCATTGGCTGTTTGCTTTTCACCACCAAGGTGCCCCAGCCCACCTCCCAAACATCAGTTCATCTGTGAGCATTCTAGAGGTTCACTGTGGACAAAAATGGTGTGCCTGTGCCTTCTGGAACTTTGTGCACTCTCACAGAAGGAATGAGAAGCCTGCTGCCTTTTGGAGAACTTGCTTGGAATGGCCGAGTAGCCCAGCAGAATCAGGATTCCCCCTTTCACGGCAGGGCACTGCCACTTCCTCCTGCATGCCACCATCTTGCCAGCAGGAAAGGGTGGGAGTGGTGGTTAGTGTTGTTTCCTGTAACAAATTTCCATAAACCAGGTTGCATGAAACAGTGGGAATGCCTTCCCTCACAATTCTGGAGGCTAGAAATCCAAATGTTGGTTGGTTCCCTTTAGAAGTCCTGAGAAAATCCACTGCATTCTTTTTTCCCTAGCTTCTGGAAATTCCTGGTATTTCTTGGCTTGTAGGTAGATGCGTCACTTCATCTCAAATAGCCTCCTGGATATGTTTCTTCTCCTCATCTCTTCTCTTGTAAGGACACTTTCATTGGATTTAGAGCTTACCCTAATGCATGATGATTTTCTGTCAAGATTGTTAATTATAGCCATAAAGAACTTTTTTTTTTTTCAAATAAGGTCACGTTCATGAGTTCTAGATTGGCATATGTTTTAGAGAGGTCCCATTCATGGTCCGAACCCTCTGCTTTTGGGTCAGGGTATTGTATCTCCCCAGGAAGACAATAGGTCAACTTGTGACATTACACTTTTGGGTAGTTGGCAAAGACAATAGGGGAAGTTTGTAACTCTTTACAAAAAGGCTGGCCCCTTAACCATGACATGCAGAAAATATGTACCTAAGTTTTGGGGTCTCAATAGCTAACTCTCCTTTCTCTTTATTTCTTTGGGTTAAGGGACATTAATGATGTCATCCTCTGTTTCAAATGATATAAAACTCCTTTACTGCCACTAAGTGTAGTGGAGAATTGAAGCAGTTAGCCTGATGTGGCAGGCAAAGCTCCTGTTTTCCTTATTTTTAAAAATTTCGTATACAAAACACTTAAAATATTTTTAGCATCAAATTTACTTCCATGTGATGTATTCAAAGGCAAGTTGGATACCACTCAAATGCCTGGCAGTTTAGAGGCAGGGTTTGGAGACATAGCTTCCAGGGAATGCAATTATTAGCTCTTCCACAATTTCAGTCTTACCAGGGAGAAATAGGTTACTGAAAGAAGTGTGGAATTTAGAATTACATAATGGACCATTCAATCTGATGACATCACTTAATATTGATGTGACTTAAGCCAATCACTTAACCTCTCTGGCCTCATTTTCCTTTTGTATAAAAATGAAAATTTGGTCTACTTTGTCATTGACAGTGTTAAGACTCTCAACACATCCACATAAACCCACATGTGTGCACACACACATGTAGTTGCTAGCAGTCATCTGGCATGTAATTAGTGCCTAAAATATTAGCTCCTTCTTTCCTTCTTTGCTGTGATCAAAACAACATTCAGAATTACTTTGTTGATTTGCGAATTTTCTTCTAGGTTGTCCGGGAACTTAAATGTTTTGTTGTAGGGATGGACTTTTGGCCTAAGTGGTTAAGTTGTTGCCTGGGATGCCTGCATCTCACATCAGAGTTTGAGTCTGGCTCTGTTCTGAATTCCAGCTTCCTGCTAATGTGGACTCTGCTAATAGCAGGTATAGTTCAAGTACTTGGGTCCAGTTCCTGGCTGCTGTCTTCAACCTGGCCCAACCCTGGATGTTGCTGGCATTTGGGGAGTGAATCAGCAGATGGATTCTCTGCCTCTCTGACTCTCAAATACGTACATTTATATACATACATACACATACATAAAACATCGTTGCTAATAATCCTTGGACTACTTCTTCTCACACTTTCCTTTGTTTCTTAGGCTTTGCTTCCTTTTAGTGTTCCTTTACCAAACTTTCTTGTCTCTCAAGCCACAGTCTTTCTTCCTTTAAGCAGTATTCCCACTCCATCAGTTTCAGAGATCTGTGCTCTCTAAAGGAACTCCAAGAAAACAACTCTGAAAAGAGTAGGTCAAATTTTTCCATCTTTTGCTATTTTATTATGTGTTGATAAGTCTGTCTTCTTTTTGGCTTACATTTTGATTATCCACAAAGCATGGACAAATTATTAGTATCCAATCCTATGGAAAAAATTCTACATCATAAAGACTATCAAATTAAATTTGACGGACATTTTTCAAGCATTAGCTATATACTAGGCAGTGTCCTAGGCAGTGGTGGTACAAAAGTAAGTAAGAACAAGTCCCTGCCCTAAAGTGCTTATGTTTCAGCCAGGAGGACAGACACATAAGTAATACTTTGAAGCTAAGTGTCCCTTATGTGCCTTCAAGCATACAGTGCACTTGAGAGTGTTGCCTGTCCATTTTGGGTAATGATATTATCTTGTACTGGCCAATCAAAATGACCACCCTGTTCCTGGTGCCTTCTAAATGAGCAGCCAAGCTCCTTCTGCCTAAGCAGGTTCAGGATGGGCTTGTCGTGAAAGGGCAGCCAATCCTGAGTTAGTGTAATGGACGTTACCTGCATTATTTTCTTCATTGCCCATTATTCCCCATTGTTTGGGAGTCAGTAGGCAGCAGAGATCATTTCCTACTGATAAAGTCCAAAGGCCACATACTGTTTCCAACCCCTCCCCACTGCAGCTGGGGTGATAGCATGTCACTTAGACTTGGCCCATCAAATATAACTTCCCTAGGCTTGGAATTCGGAGTTGGTGATGCAAGAAAGCTGAGATGGGAAGAGCTATCTATGATAGTAGTCGAAACAAAGTCCAGTTTCCAGGGCGATTGGGTACAGGGACAGCAGTGACATTTGGTTTCCAGTACCCAGGTATCAATTGCTATTGTTCAGTGACAGCAACAGTCCACCCTTGACAAATGTGGCCATGATTTGGCTGTGAGTCTTGCTGCTCTTCCTCCCTTTGTTTCTATTCATTTTTTTGAGCATCTCTCTGATCCTTTAAATAAATGCAAATATTGGGAGGTTTTATTTTAAATTTTGAGATGACATATTTTTAATTTACATTATAATCAAAGGCTTAATTGCTTCACTAAGTAAAAAATTCAACAAATAATAACTGAAAAGATCATAGTTCAAAGGGAAGATAAGCAAGGGAAATAGACAATAATCAAATGAAAAGAAGTTGAACTTTACTCAGTTAATT